ATTATTTAATTAAATAATTAAATGAAGTGATGAAGTAACATAGAACATAATGAGATTAATATATTTGATTGAATTTTATAATATTATTGTAACATGTATATATAATTTGTATATAATAAAAATGTAATGTTATAGAAGCATAATTATAAATTTAAATTTATTAAATGTTTTTTGTAAATATCTAGAAAACTAAGACTCAAAACAAGACAGTAGCGATAGTAGCATATATAAGAAAAAGTTATTCAGAATGTTTGTCTTTGTCAACATATTTCAAGGTCATTGAAATCAATGATAAAACCACACTTCTAAATAATTACTATTTGCTTTTATTGCAAAATATCATATTTTTCCAAAATTCAATAAAAATATACTTTTTGGCAAATTATAAATATTTTCTTCATATATGGAATATTTTTCTGATTACACGATCATTATAAGATTTTTTTTATAATAATTCTTCAAATTGTTTTATTTAAAAAAATTTTATCAGAAAAATTTTCGAAGAAAAAATTTTTCTTACAATTATTTTCAAGTCCTTTTTGATTTTTCGAATAATAAATTGTTCTTTGAAAAATTCTATAAGAATTTCAATTTCTAATATTTTATAATTTTTTTATTTTATATAATAGAATTTACTTTTTCTTCATTCAAAGTAATTTGATTTTTGCCGATTTCGGTACCTCATTCAATAGACATCTATTATAATTAAAAATTGTATTCGGTAATTCAAATACAAAATTCAGACATTTTAACTCTAATATTAGTTGATCTCTTCTTTGTACATAACATCAGATTATTAATCTCGTGAATAGTTGATAAAATATGAAGTGTTAATATATATAATGTTATTAATATAATAATATATATAATGTTAATAATATATGTTATTCTTCATAATGAGGCGGATTGTTTATCCATTCTTAAAATGATCATCAATATATATCATTAACATTATTAACAATTTTAATATTAAGCATTTCAGTTATTTTACAAACTAAAATTACTAATACTAAATTAAAAATACTTTTTCTTCGTTTCAGTTTTTTTCTTGTTATCTATACTTATATATTTATCTTCGTTATCATTCAATTCATTTGGTTGCTATATATTAATCATTTAATTAATATATTCATACTTTTCGTTTATATAGTCTATTTCAAATGAATTATTTCAAATGAATTGTATCATAATTATCATCAAAATAAACATTATTATCAATTTTCCATATCATTATCATATTTTTTATATAATTCCAGCATGTATCATCAAAGTTTCATCATTCAATTACATAATTATAGAGAAATCATTAATTAAAATAAAGCTATTCAGTAGTTATTTTTATTATTATGAAAGCAATTAGTCTATATATATATTATTCTTTTTAAAAATTCTTATGTTTTCTTTTTTTCGGCATTTTCATTTTTCTTGCTTTTCTTACGTGAGCCATTTCAATCTCGACTTCGTTGATTTTTTGCTTTAAATTTTCTTTATTATTTATGTTATTTTGTATCAGATTATATGTATATGAATATTTATAATATATAAAATAAAAATAAAACAAATATTTAATAAACTAAAAAAAATGCATTTATTTTTTGGCAAATTGTAATTTCATATTTAATATGCTTAAACATATTCTCTGTAATGTTTTACATTGTTGTTATTTCTATCAGGTTGAGACAAGGAAGTGGTGACACAATCACATATGTGAGATATCTAAGAAAAGAAACATTGAGAATTATTTGGAATAAAAAGAATAATTAGAATTGGAAGAAAATGTAGAAAAGAAATGAGGAGAACAGAGCATGCATATTGTACGATATTTAATATTTAGAAATTCTTATTTAGATTTTAATTGTAAGTAATTCATTTTAAAAATTTGATAAAAGCAAATAAAAAAATCTTTTTTGTTTAATGCTTCATTATTTTCTTGATTCAATTTTTTTTATTAAAATAGTAATTAAATTATCTTCGTATTTTTTTTTTTTGAGTATTTATCTTTTGGATCATATTTATCTTTTGAATCATTTATTTTTTCAATGTAGATGTAATATTTTATGGAATAATATTAAATAATTATATAAAATTATACATTATAATAATTAAACATAATATTAATAATAATTATCATATATCAAATAGAAAAAAAAAGATAATATATATTAAATACAAAAGATAATTTTAATTAATTTCATTGTTAATATTATATTTTTAAATTGATAATTAAAAGATGGACTATCATCTTTTTATTTATTTAGTTCATTTAATTATTAATTATCCTGATCTAATAATTTTTGGTTACAAAAAAATGATTTTATCTCTAAAGATGAAATATACAGAGAAAAATTAATATTCTATTGAAATAGATTTTCGTGTTTTGCAATTTCGAAATTTTTCTTGTACTTTCTTTTGACTTTGAATCTTTTCAATTTGTTTGTTTATTTTTTGTATTTTCAGATTGGAAGCAAAGTATTTTCTTTAATAATGTAATGTTTTATTATTAATTTTACTATGAGTATAATTTATGTATAGAAGCAAATATATAGTACCATTCATAAATCTGCACATATGTATTTTTTCAAATTTTTTATTTTAAATAAAAAAAAGAAAATTTGCAATATTCAATTAGTCACTATTATTATTTTTGTTTGAATTTCAATATTTTGCAAAAATCTCTTCTAGCTATGTTTCTATCATTAAATAAGTTCGTTTTTTTTATAATATTTTTTATTATATAAAAATATATATATTTTTTTCTTTAAATTTTTATTAAATTTATTTTTTTCTTTAGCTAATTTTTTTTAAAATTCGATATAAGATTATTTTGACAATTCATTTTTTAAAAAGATAAGTTATAAGAATCAGAATATTTTTCAAGCATGGAAGGAAGAAATTCCAAAAAAAAAAAATTATTGTAGCATATTATTGAATTTCTAGATTATTCAGTTGATTTTTTATATTTTTTATATAATGTCCATGTAATTTTAATATTGTCCATTATTTTTTACCATCATTATCCTCTTATTTTTTACCATTAAAAAAGAAATATTATTATAAAAAAGAATATTTAATTTGGAGAAGCAAATATAATAATAGATAAAAAATTTGTTTAAAATTATTTTTTTTTTCAAAATTTTAAAATCATCGAAATTTTTTAATTAATTATAAATAATTAACGAATTATATTAATTGGACGAAAGAATTACATAAAAAAACAATTGCAATATAAAAATAAATAATGCAAGATATTATATTTGAGTTAGTTAAAGATATTATAAAAAATCTTATATCTTTGATAATAATTAAATATTTAATTCTATTAATCAATTAAAAACAAAAACAAATATGAGATATATCATTATTGTTAAAGAAATCTATTATATTAAGATTTTTTTAGTTATTGAAAATTCATATACGAGATTATAATATTTTTTCTCTGTGTCAAAGAAAGCTATATCAATCATTGTTTTAGAAGTGATATAATATTTTAAGATATAAAGACTAAAGAAATATTAATAAAAATAAAATAAAATTTATTTTTCTAATTTAATCTTATATTATTATTATATTAGATAAAATCATTTCCTATTTCATCATTTTAATATTATTTATAGTTTTTTATATTATATTTTATGAAAAGTTGAATCATGAATCGTATTGTAATTTTCTTATATTAGTATTAAAAATAATTTTATTAATCTTTCTTTTCACATAGTGTTAATATTTACAATTCGTTCATCCATATGTAAAATGGATCTGACTTAACATTTTATTCCAAAATTGAAAATGTTTTTGTTAACAATATTTTCCACTATCTTCTTCTTTCTAGTTGGAAGGATGATAGATTTTTGAAATTTAAATTTATACTTTTAATACAATTAAAATCTAGAATTTCTTTGACAATGATTTGTTAATGTTCTTTCTTTTGCGATTCTTGCAAAAAAAGAAAAATAAATAAAAAATATTTAAAAGAAATAATTAAATTTTAATATTTTAATTTAAAAACTATTCGCTATAAAAAATTGATATCAATTAAGTTTTTTATTTTATTTGATTCATTTTTTTTTTGAAATATGCATTCCAAACTTGCTTGTTAAATTTAGTTGGTAAATATTACTTGAAAGATATCTATTCTTGAAAAAAAATCATAAAATTCTAATAAATAAAACTTGTAATTTATGTTTTCTTGTTACATAAATTATAGTATATATATACTACACTATTGTCATGAACGATTTACTACAGTATGAAATATTGCAATATGGCCAATTATGCAGCACAGGAAAAGTTATATCACTTTATAAATAACGAAATAAAATAAATAATTAGTCATAATTACGCACAATATACATTAAAGTGTTAAAGTGTAAAAAAATTTAATAAATAAAGAAATATAATATAAAGTCGAATGCAACACTGATGTTAAAAATGAAATTCCAAAGGATTTTTTTTTTTAGAAAAAAAAAAGTCACAGTCACGAGAGAGCTTTCTCAGAAAAAAAAATCTTTTTTTTTAATCTTAGTTTTGAATTTTCGAAATTCTATCGAAAAATAATTTGAACAATGTCAATCATCGTTAGAAAGAAGAAGGAAATATTCAAGAAAAAGAAGCAATGGAAAAAGCAGAAGTCCAAAGATGAATATATGAATGAATCTTGAAAAACAACTTGAGAAATTCGATGGATTATTATCTTCCATAAATAACAATTTTAAAATAATAGAACAATAATAGAACAAACAATATAAATACTATATAAATACTATATAATAAAATTTTATAAATACTATATATAATAATTTAAATATTAATGTGAATAGTGAAATTTTTGCTTAGTGAAGTCTAAAAAAAATAATTGTTTCTAATACTTTATTTCTCAAATCCTCTTTTTTTGTCCGCAATTATGAGTTCTATAAATATATATATAAATAAATATATAATTTAAATATATGGCGAAACTATATTTTTATGGATTTAATTTCTCTCTGTTGATTATTTTTCAGATTATTTAAAATTAAGTTTGGTTATATATAATTTCGTTGAGAATCTTTTGAATTTAAATTATGTTTTGTTTCGAAATTTGTGGCAACAGAAAAAGAAGTCGATTTCAGTGTTGGCCGTCGAGATTGAGAAGTTGCAAGCAGTTGCTCATTATTTCTCAAAAATGGACAACTAGGAAATTAAAAAATTTTTACATTTCGTATCTTTAAGAGTTGTCTTCATTAAAATTTGGAAATGACTGTATCTCAAGAGATTAAACAAAATAAATCGAAATACTTCAATAATAAACCAATAATAAACTGAAAAGAAGGAATGAAGAAACAAATCTGTGTTAAGCGAGAAGCAAGGACATTTTCAAAAAGATTGTCATAAGAAAAAGAAGAAGGAAAACCAGAAGAAATCGATGTAAAGAAATATCTGATTTTGATTTTTATTTAATTTTGATTCTTATCTGAAAGTCATAAAGATTTATATATACAAAATTCTTTTTCAGATAAGAGTATCCTATGTAATATAGCATCATATTGAATATAGCAGCAAATTGAACAAAGTTTGATTAAAACTGTCGCGAATAAGACATCCAGGTTTTTTTTTTAAAGGAGAGGATAATGTTACGAACGTTGACAATTATAGTGTGAAATAGTATGAATCGCGATACGGGAAACGACAATATTTGTTGTTATTGATATCGAAGATATTAATTAAATGAAACCATTTTTCGGACATGGAACGATCGTGTGTTTTTCCTAAGCAAATATTATATTGTTTCATAAATAACGAAATAAAGTGTAAATAATTATAAGTAAATTAAGTGTTGAAATATAAAAAAGTTTGTAAATAAAGAAATATAATGAAAAATTGAATGTCGAACGTAACAATATTTTGCAAATAACATATTTTTATTGTTTCTAGTAATTCTATTCCAATTTGTGTTGTAAATATAGAAAATAAATGTTTATTTGTGATTTGAGTCGCAGATAACTAAAAAATCTTTTTGCAGATAATAATGGAAATCTTGTTCGATTATATTTCCATCATCTCAAAATATCCTTTGTTAAATGAAGATATTGAATCATGTCTTCAATTGATAATATTTTGAAATCATTTTTAACTTTAATTAATTGTATATTTAAAAAATCCAACAGATCTTACTCTCAAAATTTACATAATTTTAAAATTTATAAAAGTCAATATAAAAAAATATTACTTTATTAGAAAAATGAAAAAGTTTTTGATTGTGGGATAAGTTCGAAGATTGGATGATTATTGGAGATAGAGAAAGATACAACAATTGAAATTCTTTCTTTAAAATGATATAAGGAAAGTATGGTATTTTCAAACAAGATAATATCAGTGAAAATTCTAACAGATTATAAGATCAATAATAGATTATTTTGCATTAAAATTTATAAACATTTACGAATCCTGTCAAAAAATAAATTTAAATGATGGAATTGAAGAGGAAGATTATTTTTTAAAATTTATAATGCATATAATGTTTTATTTTTTATTAATTTCTGTTTTCTTTATCTTTTTATTTTTATTTTTATATTACATTATATTTTTTTTATATACATTATATTACATTATTTATTTCACAAATAGGCGGATTGATAATGCATTCTTATGCCATCTTTATCCAGAGCAAGTCATCGTCAAAATGATTGTATTTTTCTGGACATGCCATTGTCTCAAACATAGACGATCCAAATCAATGAATTATCTACTAAGTTGGATTTCAATTCTAGTTTTGGCATGGATTATCCTGATTCCTTCTTGAACATTTGCACGTTCTAGATCATAGGTAAAAATTTGCAACTTTTAAATTTTTGTGTATATATATATATAATTAAGCAATATAATTAAAATATTATGTATATTATACAATCTATACTCTTTTAACACGGTATTCTGAAAAGATGGTTTCTTCAATATGACTCAATAAATGTAAACTCATCTAGTATAAATATTTCCATCATGTTTTTGTTGATATTTTTTTGATTTGTATTTCTAGAATTTGTTTATAACGATTTGGATATAAGATGGAACAAATTAATCGTGTTATAAGAGGGTAATTATATTGTTAATAAAAAAATATAAATATATAAAAAAATATGCTAATATAAATATACATATAATGTATAATATGATTTAATTACTTTATAGATATAAATTTATTATAATATATTTTTATAATGATTTAATAAAAAAAATTATATTTATGTTATATAACATTCTTAATATATACTTATAATGATTTATTAGAAAACATACTATCAAATATTCATCGAACATTGTGATTTCACTATGCATATTACACATATGCTCGAAGAGTGAAAATATTTTTAATGAAATGTTTCCAAATCAATAAATAGAATGAAGACACTATTTCCTGGTCAGCTAGATCTCCAGATTTGATATTACTAGATTTTTAGATTTTTTCTTATGAAAAATATTGCATATCATAATAACTAGACTATAATTTTGAAGTATATAATAGACTCTGCTACGATAACAGAAATAAGGAATGCAATAGTTCAAAAGTTTTATCAATATTTCGAATATCATTCAATGAAATAAAAAATGAATAAAGTAAAATATTTCAGAAAGTTTTAGAATAAACATATCTTAATACTTTTATATTTATATATAGAAGTATTATTATAGAATTTATTATATTATAATATAATATATATTATTAATATATATTATTAATATATATATTAATTATATATTATTATAAGAAGTATTATTATAGAATTTATTATTCTATGAAATATAAAAAATAGAATGTTCTGTTTAAAAAAACCAAAGTTCATATTTCTTTGTTATATTGATTTGTCAGGAAATTATTGTTATCATATTATATATTTTTTTAAATCTTATAATTTTTATTGGAAATATTTTCGTGTATTTTGAAATAAGAAAGATAAAAGTAAAAAAAGTTTATGGAATACTGTACATTTTTCTTTTTTTTTTTAATGTTTATGAATATTACTGATGATAGAAACATTTCTAAATTTTTTTTCGAATACGATTTTGATTTTTTTTTTACTAATTTCTACTAGTTAACAGAATACATCCTTGTATATTGTAATATAATATTGTAATATAATATGATAATCCAAATCTTTCTGATTTATTTCATTTTTTCTATTAACTTTGATATCTTTGAATGTTGCTTCATAGATATAATATTTCATAAAAGAAATCATCATCTGAAGTGATCGTATATTTCAGTAACACGTCAAACTCTTATAGAGTTCTAATTAATGAAAAGCTAATCTTCCTTACATTTGTCATTATATTAAAACAGATGCAGATAATACTCGATTTTTCTTATTTATTTTTTTATTTTTAATTATTGCTTTTTTTTCTGTTAAAATTATTTATTCATCTCAATTTATCTAAATATTCCATTTTTTAAGAAATATATTTGTGCTTATATGCATCTCATAAGAATATGTATATATACAAATGTATATAATATGTATATATGCAAAAATAACTAGCCAGTTACTTGTTCTGTATTCTGTTCAGTATTCCGTTATCTGTTGTTCTGTCTACATGTTCATTGATGTCTCAATCTAGTACATGCAAGGACTGCCGTTTATTATTAGTATTTTCTATTATTCATTGTTCACATGCATTAATAATTCATTTATAATATATCTATTTAGTATTGGTTATTATATTATTAATTATTAATTATACAATATAAAAAGAAGAAAAGGAGAAAAAAATTATACAAAACAAATGTCATTAAATATAATAATAACAGCTTTGCATAAAATAGAAATTTTATTCGTTATTATTTCCGGTATCGAAGAAGAAATTGTCAAATAAATTGGAAATGTTCTAACTTATATAAAGATTGTATGATTTTCTTTCAATATTTTCGAGTAAAAAAATTGACTCTCTACGGATTCCTAACTTCCTTGCTAATATTGCCACGACATCTATGATTAGCAGAATTTCCAATACCTTGAACAATCAAACCGTTCGCTTGGATCCTGTGTTTGCTCATTGCTTTGTTTATTCATCATCTTTGTTTATCATCATGTTTGTGTGTTGCGTTTGGATAAAAAAAATGGCAAATCTGTATTTCTTCTCTGAATTGAAAAGCATGATTTTTTTTATTTTTGGAGTTCTGATAAACATATTGCCGCTTTTCGATTCGCCAATACACTTGATCTTTATAGAGAAACTTCAGTTTCTTCTTTTCTTTTATTGCTTTCAGATATGTTTAAAAGTTTCTTAGAATTTTTATATTCTTGTTATCGAACATATTCAAAATATACTCAATACCTATTTTATTTTATTTTTTTTTATTATTTATTATAATTGTTATTAGAATTTTTTTTGTATGTCTTTCCTTTTATTCTTCCTTATCATTTTTGACTTTAGAACTTTCCAGGATTTCTTCTTTTAATTTCTCCATTGTTTTTTGAAGGAATTAATATCCTTTTTCTTAATCTTCTAATCTTAATTTTCTCTTCTGCTAATTTTGATTAATAAATTGATTAATATTGATCGATTATTATTTTTTGAATTTATTTTCTTGATAGAAAATCATTACTTTTTGAATGCCTTTTTTTTATCGAGGATTGTTTTCCAATTAATTTGAAATTACTGTCCAGTACTTGCTATTTGAATGAATAGGATCTATTTAGTTGACTTTTTTACTGTCTTATCAAATTTTTGTATTGCTGCATTCAGTTCTTTGAAAAAAAAATATTCAAAAAAAAATAACTTAAATAAAATAAGTCTTATATCAAATTAAAGCTTTATAGTCTATTTCTCTTTTAGATCGTTTTTTCGATTCTTTTCTTTCATTTACGACTATCTATTTTTCATATTGAGATCTTTTCTTATTGAGATCTCATTGAATTTTAAAGCTATTATAAGCTATTATAAGCTATATCATATTTATAAAATGTTCCTCTATTTCTCTATCTCTATATTTCAGTAAATAATATTGGTATCTGTATCATATATCTTTCGATGCCCAATAAAATTCTATTTAATTTTGGCATAAAGAACTTTTTTTTCAGAAATTTTTCTATCCTCTTCTCTAAAGTATAATTGACATATATATTTTTGTTATCTTTCAATGATATAAATCCAGTTGATTTATCAATAATTTGTTAATATCTATATAATTTGTTGTATATTTTTTTATGCACGATATTATTCAATTAACGATATATCATTCAATTATTCAATTTTGGCATCGAGATATTTTTTTTTTATAAAAATAAAAATTTTTTGTTCTATTTATTTAACTAATACACTTCAATTAGGTCTCGATTATTGACTGAATAGTCCACTATTGACTTGTAAAATATGTTTGCTTATCATAAATGGATAATGGATTAGTCAGCCTCAAACTGGGATTTCTATGTTCAAGACTTCCTTTTCATCCTTATTTATGGCTGAATTAATGCAATACTGAAATTTTGTATATTATATTTGTATTAATGCACTTATGGTCTCTATTTAATTTAAAAATGATCTTTACTTAATTCTTTTATTATTTTTTGAGAACGTAATAGATGTATTATGTTTCAATTAACACTAACTTGAGCCGTTTAAACCAAACGATATACTACTGCCTTTTACCATTAAAAGTTCAATTTTCATAGAAAAAAAATATTTAACGTCACATTATTCTCATTGTCACATTAGGCAGAAGCATATTACGTGATATATTATGATGCTTGGCATTGGTAGAACCTAATCACGTGGCGTATTTCTGTCAAAGATGACAATAGAGATAATGTAATTATGTATTACATGACATGCTATACTTGATTTTGTCAAAAGTGTGATCACGTGATGTACTTGTAACAATGGTAGAGGGAATAGTGTGATATCATGTATTTTTCTCATGTGAAAATTTATCAAAAAAGATATCTCATTTTTAATGGTAAAGAAAATAGGATACTATCTTCTATCTACAA